TATATGTGTGTGTGTATTTATATATGTGTGTATGTGTGTGTATAAATACGTGTGTGTGTGTGTGTGTATATATACATGTATATAATATACCCTGAGCAATATTTTATTTCAGACAATTATATATAACTTTGATACAGGTTGTTACTAGTCTATTGGTATTTGTCTCTTGTTTATCATTAACAAATGACCTCGTTGATTCATAAAATCCTTTTATTTTATAAAACTCAGATTAAATGTAAATCAAACGTGTTAAAGTGAAGACAGACCATAATATTCCTGAAGTTCTGATTCATATGTTCTACTTTATTATTAACTAATGAACCAAGATGAAGGACAAAGATGGTGTTCTGCATCTTTAATAACAATCAGATGTTATGAATAACACCAGTTTGATCCTAAAGAGAAGATTAATATACAGAATCATCTATAAGAAAATAACAATTCATGTTTATGATTCAACTCATTGTGCCAAACTTAATATGACTTTTAACTCAGGATTCACATCTTCATCACAAACCTGCTTGTTTTTTCCAAATTAAAGGCGGGAAAGTTTCTTTACAATCACAAAATATGCTTCAAACTTACTTTGGCTTCTCGACTGAAGGGGAAAAAAAAAAAATAATTTTTTTTTATATATATAGAGAAACAAGCTGTTTATTTTTACAGTTAAAGTTTAGACTTTGATGATAATCTGTCACAATCTTCTTCTGTGGAATAAGTGAGATATATTAACTGATGTTTTACAATAAACTGTAGAATCCTGTTAACCAATCAGAACTCACAGAAGTAAATATGCACACTGTACAAGTTAAAGAAAGGTTTTTCTATAAAAGCGACAAACCTGCAGACTAACCGTCTAAAATCAAACAAACCGAGTTGATTGTCAAAGGCACCGAATGTTCCACTTTGGAAAAAGTTTCCTCCAGACGATGAAATGTTCAACATGAAGTCATTGATACGGTGGAAAGACACGAATCTCGGGTGATCATGATCTGATCTCATCATCATGATCTGATCTCAGGTGTGTCCAGGTGAAGCAGGTAGAACCAGACCAGCGAGCCGGTTCTCTGGATGGACACCAGGGGGCAGCATCACACATTCTAACGTTTAGATTCTCACACATTTTGGAACAGAGAGCTTGTTACAAAACACTTTACCCAAATCTGGAGACTAAGGAAAGATAAGATAAAAAAAAAAAAAAAAAATCGAACTACGTTTTGGCACCAATTTTGACCCAAAAGGCCGAAAGTGTGTTTACCGTATTTAAGGAACTCCTTGTTACAAGACATACAGAGTCTATCTCGGCGTCTTTTAGAGTCCAGGCTCTCAAACTGGTCCAGCTAACTGGGATGAACTGGATACGGATCCTCACTCCTGTACCTTGGCGGTGTCGTCCAGGTAGTAGACGTTGACCAGGTGGCGGTTCAGGTGGCGCCGGTACTCCGCCTCCAACGGGAACGTGCGGTCGCAGAAGATGCACAGGTGACTCTTGAGCTCCGTCGGGGACGGGATCTCGTCGGTGGGCGTCTCGGGGTCGTTGGCCATCTTGCCCGACCCGGCGTCGTTGCTGTTGAGGCCGGAGTCGTCACTGTTCTCGGAGGCGCTGTCGCTGATGTCACTTCCTCCCTCGTGGCTGCTGTGGATGCCCTCGTCGTCCTCCGGGTCGCTGGTTTTGTTTCGCTGGCCTGGGAGCACCAGAGAAGGCGGCGATGTGGGTTTAACGAACGTGGGAGCGGGGCGGTCTTCGGCGGGAGAAGGCGTGTCCTCACCTGAGCTGCAGGTGGGTTTGTTCAGAGTCTTCTCCGGCAGTGTTGGAGTGGTTTCATCAGTGGAGGTCTTCTTCGGGTGGTCCAGCTCAGCAGATGCTTCTGGACTGTGAACTGAAGTCTTCTGGTCCTTAACTGGATCCACAGCTTGTTGAAGGCTCGTGGCTTTCTTGCTGGTGTTCCTGATCTTCTTCTGCTTTACAGGGGATGACCCGGTCCTGTCTGACCCGGTGGACCTCTGTGGTGGCGGAGCGGCATCATTTATATTCTTAGTGTCTTCTGAAGCAGGTTTCACCTGCAGCTTCTCTGCAGCGCCAGCTTTCAGCCGTCTGGCCTTGGATGGAGTCTCAGACGAGGACCTTTTGGAAAGGTCGAGAGCCTCCGCTGCTTTCCTCTTGGCAGCCTTTTCCTTCACCACCTTTTCCTTTTTCTCAGGACCGCCCGGTTTCTGCTGAGCTTCAACCACATGTTCTGGTATTTTCTGTGACTTCTTTGATCCAGACTTCCTCGGCTTGTTGAGGCTTTTGTTCTCCTTTCCGGTGCCATCGTTCTTCTGATGTCCTCTCCCCTTCTCAGGCCTCACCTTCTCTTCCTCTTTCTGCCTCACTTCTCTTTCCTCCTCTGGTCTTTGTTGGTCTGGTTTGTCCGTCTCCGTCTGGACCTGGACCGTTGTTTTCTTGACTCGTCTCTTCACCTTGTCTGTATTAACAGCAGCAGTTATTGTCTCCGTCTCTAGAGGATTCTCATTGACCTTCTCAGTCTTCTTCTGCCTCGTTGTGATCTTTTTCTCTGGTTCCACCTTCTCTTTTACTTTCTGTAGTTTCTCTTTCTCAGCGGTGACGCTGGATTTCTTCGGAGGCTTGTCAGGTGCTTCAGTTTGAACCGGTTGGGCGATGCTGGGCTGGCTGCTCTTTTTGATTGACAGATTGATGGGACTCGAGTCCTCGCCCTCGCCCTCGTCCTCCATGTCAAAGTCCTCCTCGACGCCGGATGAATTGTCAAACTTGCCTGCACCAGAGTCCTGGTTTTCCTCTGCACTGTCAGCACCGGGTTTCTTGACGCGCAGCTTGACCTTGGAGATGTCCACGGATACGTCGCAGCCGGAGTGCCTGGACTTGATGTGGTACTGCAGGTTGCATTTCTTGGAGGCGGCGTACTTGCAGAGAGGGCAGAGAAACTGTCGAGGGTTCAGGTGGAGTTCCACGTGCTTCTTGAAGTTGCTGCGGTCGGCGGTCTTGTACTCGCAGTACGGGCAGGAAAGAGGTTTGGGGCCGTTGTGGACCTGCCGGGCGTGGCGGGTCACCTCGTGCTGGTTGGCTGCCAGGTAGTTACAACTCTCACACTTGAAAGGACGCTCACCTGCACAAAGGAAGCCAAGAGTCAAACTGGTGCAGAGGATAATGTGACAGGTGAAACACCAAAGACAGGTCATGCAGGAAGCTTCATATCCACACCAGAACACATCAGTCTGAAGACACCGAGTGTCAAACAGGGTTCATAATGTTGCTTTATACAGGTGTGAGGTGTGTCTCCAGACTGATCTAGTTTGGTGTGAACACTTCAGACAGGAAGTCACAGCACAGGAAGTCACGGCACAGGAAGTCAAGGCACAGGAAGTCATAGCATATACTTCCACTGCAAATCACTTTACCATGTTAATCCAAAGCGACCGCTTTATTGAGAGCAACAAACACAAACATGTTTAAAGTGAGAGACGAGAACCTCAACAATCACCTGTTTCGACAGCTAAGAACTCTACTACTGCTGCTGCTACTACTACTTCTACTACTACTACTACTAGGTGTGTCTCAGGTCATTTTGTGCCCCTCAACTCATGAAGCCATCATTGGAGTTAAAAGTTGTCAAGTCTTTTGGATTCTGTCGAGTCTAAACTCATCAAATTCATGACTCCTGTCTGACTCTGGTCTAAGTCCCATTACTGGAGTCCACACCACTGGCTGTCACCATCCAATAAAGCCCAACTCAAGACCAGCAAGTTCAAAGTCAAGACAGGTCAGACCCAAGTCAGGATGGGCAAGTCCTAGGTCTAGTCCTAAGTCAAGATGGGTAAGTCCATCAGAAGTACCTCATCATTCATTCCCATTCATAGGCCTACGGAAGCAATTTGGGGCGTCTTGCCCAAAGACATAAACATGTACTATTGGAGCCAGGGATCAAACCGCCCGTCCTGTAATTGAAGGACAAGACCTGCAAGCCCTAGGTCGAGACCTGCAAGCCCGAAGTCGAGACGGGCAAGCCCGAAGTCGAGACGGGCAAGCCCGAAGTCGAGACGGGCAAGCCCGAAGTCAATATCAAGTCCTAAACTTTGTGTTTAGTGTTCTAGACCAGTCAATATGTTAAGACTTCAGTCTGACTCTAGTCTAGTCCAAGTAAGGTGACCCAAGTCCAGACCTCTGGCTGGACTATGTTCAGGATCAGGATCTGATTAAATTAGTGCTGGGCAACGATTACAATTTTTAATCGCGATTAATCTCATTGTTATGGCAAAGTTCAATAATGAATTCAAAAGTAGTGTATTGTGCACTTTTATTTTGAAAATACTGCTATATGAACAAAAGGTCAATAACATTTGGTTTGTAAACACTTTAAACACATCAGGTTCTTGTTAGCAGCAGTATTCCCTTTACACAGTAGCAGTTATAACACAGTTATAATGATTCTGATCATAGATATTCAGCCGGTGTTTACAACTTTATCTTCATGTGTGTAAGAGATACAATTTAAATATACACCAGCAGCAGCAGGAAGTGACACCACACAAACGGCTGTTCACCGCTCGCTGCCCGGTTCTTGTGTTAAAAATGTCCGCTTAATAAAAAAATAAAAAAACCCGATAAGATAATTGTCGGCGTTAATTAATAACGCGTTAACTTACCCAGCACTAGATAAAACGTATTCCTGAGGGTTCACAGACAGCTTAGTACTGATCAGGTCTCATATGATCATTAACCTGTACAGGTTCCTGTGTGTATGAAGACAAACGTTACAGGGCTCAAGTGTGGACGACTGACCAGAGTGAGTCCTCATGTGGCGGGTCAGGTGGGTCTTCTGAGAACTGGAGTAGTCGCAGTAGGGACACTGGAAAGGACGGACACCTGTACAACACATACATCAAGACTTTAAACCCCTGTCAGGTGGGTCACTGCAACAACAGGAAGAGACAAAGACAAGAGACAGGTGTGTCCTACCTGTGTGCGTCCTGATGTGCTGGATGTAGTTGCTCTTGCGGTCAGAGAAGTAGGAGCACTGGCTGCAGGTGTGCAGTTTGCTGGGGAAGTGGTTCCTCAGGTGTTTCCTCCAGTGGTACTGGCTCACGGTGGTGTACGGACACAGAGTGCACTTGAACACCCTGCAGAGACACAGTGGCACTCGTCTTTAACCATCTGAAGGTACAACCAGAGGTGAGAACAGTGAGGTCACCTGTGTTGTGTGTTACCTGTGGTCTTCGCCCTCCTTGCTGTGGTGTTTCAGGTGAGCGATGTAATGGTCGTATCTGTTGGTGTTGTAGCCACACCGCTCGCACCGGATCAGACCTTTGACATCACCTGCCGCCGCCTCCTCACCACTCTCCGCCTCCCCTCCGGACGGTTCCTGGTTCTCGGGTGCGTCCTTGGTCCTGGTCTTGCTCCTGCCCTCGACCCGATTCACCACCATCATCTTGCTGACGCCGTGAGTGCCGAGGTGTTTGACGAACTCCTGCTCGTTCTGGGCCTGGAAGTGACACGGCTTACACTGGAAGGGCTTCTTCTTCTTGGTGGTCTCCATCACGGCAACAGGGACGCGTGGACGTTCGACGACCTGCTCAGGTGTTTTGGTGCAGGCAGAGGGGCGGGGCTTAGTGTGATGGGACAGGTCTTCAGCTTTGACCCCTTCCTCCTCTACGTCGTTTCCTACGACCACGGCAACGATGTTGGGACTGGGAGACTCGGGGTACTCGAGGATACACACCTCTCTGTAGTTCTGGTTGTCGTAACTGTACCTGTACCCCACGCACCCGCACACCCCCACACACGCACCACCCCCACACACACACACACACACACACACACACACACACACTGAGTTGACACACAGGTAACACTTTCCTGACCTAACTCCTGACTAACGATCGGGTGCTAGCTAACTCCTCCTGACTAATGATCGGATGCTAGCTAACTCCTCCTGACTAACGATCGGGTGCGGGCTAACTCCTCCCGACTAACGATCGGGTGCGGGCTAACTCCTCCCGACTAACTGTCGGGTGCGGGCTAACTCCTCCTGACTAACTGTCGGGTGCGGGCTAACTCCTCCTGACTAACTGTCGGGTGCGGGCTAACTCCTGACCTGACGATGTTCTCCTCCTCGCTGTCCGAGTAGCTGCATCCCACCGTCTTCAGCTCCATCATCTCCTTCTCGTCCACCGCGCTACCGTCACCGCCGGAGCTCTCTGCCGCCGTCACCGCCGCTACATTGGCCAGCATCACCAGCTGAGGAGCCGGCAGCGTGTTCCTCGGCATGTCACTCTGAGCGTCCTCCATCAGAGGAACGCTGACGGGGAACATCTCCACGGAGAACACCGTTTGAGCGGCCATGTTGGTTTAAGCTCTTCAACTTGGCAGGAAGGAGAAGCTGCAGAGAGGACGACATGGAGGACGAAGACAGAAACAATGAGGTGTCTTCATCATTATTAATGCTAAATAGTTTATGGTGTTCTATGTAGTGCAGGGGTCCCCAACTGGCGGACCGCGGTCCGGATCCGGACCCAGTTGCATCCGGACCCAGGATCTCAAACAGATAGATAATATTAAGATCTACGTATTACCGAGCCAGTTTATATTTTAACCGGCGCAAATTATTCAGGCGTTACGGCACTTGTTCAGCGGTGCAGGAAACCAATGCGTTGTAAATCACATCACGTGATGCAGCTCAGCCAATCAGATATGGGTATTCTGACATGTTTCCTGATTCGAGTGAGATGAGATGTACACACACTGACACACGGGGCTGAGACGAGGAAATAGAAAGAAGAGCAGGAACATTGCACTGATCAGAGAAGTTATCACACATGACGTTCTCCAAAAAGAGAAACGTGTTCAGAGAGAACAGAATTTATAAGCATGAATGAACAGACTCTTCTATGTTAATTCTTCCCACAGGAAGTTAAAACCAACATGTCTCATATGTCCAGAAACCATAACTATTGATAAAAGAGGCAAATGAAGCGACACTACGAGGTAAAGCACAACTCTTTTGAACAAACGTACCCACTCACATCTAAAATGAAGATACAGAAAATAAACCTAAGAGCCCAATATGATCAGAATCCTAACACATGAGTTCACTGTTCAACAATGATGTTAACAGAGAGAATAGAGCTGAAACAAGTGTTAATAACCACAGATAAAGATCATGCACAAACATTTCTCTTTTTAGACGAGAAAAATATGTGTCTTTTTTGATTGACATCACTTCACACCTGAATGAGCTGAATTTAAAGCTGCAGACAACTCAGTGAAATACATTTTTCTAAAATGAATTACTTTATTTTAAGATGTACATTTTTGAAAAGCTTTCTGTTATGTCAGTTATTCTTTAATCCAGACATTATTGTACTTGAAATGAGAAGAACATGTATTTATGTATTTATAATCCATCCAGTTACATTTGAAACTGAGAATAATAATTGTCAAAATATAATTGATGTGTACTTTCTTTATTTGATTTGACAGTTGTTGACTACACAGAGACGTTACTACTACTAGGCTTCTTGAATATATATATATATATTTATATTAGTGCTGGGCAAGTTAATGCGTTAATTTTGCATTAACGCATTCATTAACGCCGAAAATAATTTTATCGCGCGTTAACGCATTTTTTAATTTATTATGATTTTTTTAATTTTTTTTTATTGAAAGACAAGAGAGAATACATATACATAACAACAAGAGGATGACAAGAACAGTGGGATAAAAGCCAGCAAACATCCTATAGTCTAGTGCACCTATATGCTGAAATTCACGGTAAACGCATTTAAACAGCACAGATCGGGAGCGAGCAAAGGACTTTGAAAGTTAGCGGAAAGATTAACGTGAGACAACATCCTGTTTCTTCAGACGAACATCCGGTTTTCAGAATAAGATGCCAACAAAGTATGAATTATATTCACATTAAGTATAAAACATGATACCTGCATCTCGTGAACCAAATGTTATTGCCCTTTTGTTCATATAGCAGTACTTTTAAAATAAAAGTGCGCAATACACTACTTTTGAATTCATTATTGAACTTTGCCATAACAATGCGATTAATCACAAAAAATCCATGCGATTAAATGTCGTGTTTTTATTTATTCATTATTAAGTTACATTATTAACACAAGAACCAGGCAGCAAGCAGTGAACAGCTGTGTTCGTGTGGCGTCACTTCCTTCTCCCCCCCCCCCCCTCGGGTCCGGAACCCCTCCTACACTCCGTCACCATAGTTCACTCTTGTCTCACACACACACACACACACACGATCGTCTCGTTACAGATCAAACGTGACTGTTGTGAAGTGGAGCTTCTCGTGAGGACCAAGACACCTCTTGTTTGAACGGAACACTTTACTGAACTGCAGTATTACAGTATTACAGTGTTACAGTAACGGGCTCTTGCACCCGACATGTGGTTTTCTACATATCAACATTGTTAGCGTCAAGAACACGTACCATTCTACTTCCTGTCTCTTCAAAGTAAAAGCACTTCTGTTTTCATGCTCTTCACAATAACAGTAAATCATGCAATCAAACAATTTACAACAGTGACAATGTTAAAATACATATTGTCGAGTTTTTAAAGTATTTTGTTTGGAATATGTATAATAAGCATCATTTAGTATCACTACTGAGAATTTAACAAACATAAAAACATGACATAGATATGTTTACAGTTTTCAAGGTGTATATTTAAATATCATCTCTTACGTCATGAAGATAAAGTTATTAACACCGGCTGAATATCTATGATCAGAATCATAACTGTGTTATAACTGCTGCTGTGTGAAGAGAATACTGCTGCTAACAAGAACCTGATGTGTTTAAAGTGTTTAAACCAAATGTTATTGACCTGTTGTTCATATAGCAGTACTTTCAAAGTAAAAGTGCACAATACACTACTTTTGAATTAATTATTGAACTTTGCGCATAACAATGTGATTAAAAATATTAATCGTTGCCCAGCACCAATATATATGTATGTATATATATATATACGTGTGTATATGTACATATATATTATAGATGTATATTAATATGAATATAAATATACATTTGTGTGTCTTCCCACTGCTCAGTGAAGACGGTTATACATATTAATATATTCATATGTATAACCGTCTTCACTGAGCAGTGGAGACGGGTCGCCTTGTCCTCCATTTTGAAACAGCACCACAGTTCAGTCGACAGCGACAAACGTTCAGAAGTAAGAAGAAGTTAACTTATAACTATAAGTTTAAACTATAAGTTTACACTCATAGTTTAAACTCATAGTAAACTAAATTCTTACTTTAAAGAGTGAAAGATTAAAGTGATCAAGAGAACAACAGATTCACTCTTAAACACGTTAAACTTAGGACGTTTAAAGTAAACACACAAACTATCTTTAACAAAACAAACTTTATCATCGAGCTGTTTAAACTTTGAGACTTTTTAAATCTAAAGTCGGTTAAAGATTAAAAAAGTGAAAGTGTGATAAACAAACACGTGTTGAACGTTTACGGACTAAACTCTAAATAATGTGTTTTAACCTCAATAAAGATACTTAAAGTTATATATAACTATGTAATATATATGTATAAAAGTAAGTTTCACAACGTGGCAGTGATTTAAAGACCATTTAAGGTTCAGAAAACTTTAGTTTGCGGAAGCGCAGAAGTGTGATTAAAAAGACTTTTACATTAGTATATTTAAAGTGCTTATAAAGTACTAAAGCAGGTTTCTGTCCGATATAAGTTAACGTTAGCTTGAGGATGGAAGTGTTACGAGTCCTTCGGCTGGTCGTGTGTTATCCTTGGTGCTGATCAGCCCCGGACAGCGACCTTCTTCTTCATCGACTCTACGCCTCCATTTTACTACCAACCACCGCTCCGCTCTCACTAACCACCGGTCAGCGGAGTCACAAACACCCGGACAATGAGCACCAAACCCCGGGGAGGAACTCACCGAGTCTGAGGGTCTTTTGATCCACTTTCATTCACTTGTTTCCGGCTTCAGGACTTTTTCTATCTTCGACGAGCAAACAGCGCAGAAAGAAAAAAGTGAAGAAGAAGTTTCCGCACATTCCTGCACACTGACGTACGGACGGTGACGTCAGCACGTCGATCCGGAAGTGAGCTGGAGGTTAGAGGCTTCAGCTGTTTTTGTATAAGTGTGTGCGTGTATACGCGTGAGTGTGTGTTAGTGTGCGTGTTAGTGTTTGTGTGTGTGCGTACAATATGTACCCAATAAGTACAATATGTACCTCTGAGATGTAGTACAGTAAAAAGTACAATATGTACCTCTGAGATGTAGTACAGTA